CCTCTTTATGCTTGCTGTGACTTTCATATTTTAACTCCGGCATTACTCATGTAAGTGTTCGCCGCCCTTTTGAAACCTTAATTGTTGCAGTTATTGAGAGTCATCATCCACCTACTCGCCCCCCTCCATCTCTTCGCACCACTACCGTCATCGAGGTTAGCTATACTCATGCTTTCTCAAATACCCAACCATGTTTTGGCTAACCTCCTACTCACACCCTTGCTTCCTTTTGCGACAGGGCACCGACGATTTTGATACCGGGCATGGCTTCCATACTGCGATGGAATCATCTAGCTCCCTTCCCGTGTCGTCTTCGCCCATGAATGAACTTCGACGCCGAGTCCGAGAAGCATTGAAGATGATGGATCAATTTCTTAGCATTCCTCTGGTGACTTCCATGAGTGACCAAACCATAGTATGGCCCGGCTCTGCTTGCAAAATTCTGGAGACTTTGAGCATTAACATCCCACCACTTAGTGACGCTGACATGGCGTTCCTCCACACAGTGGGTAAAGACCTAGTGGAACGCGGGAAAGCCGTGGTACCAGCTCTGCAGGTGGTTAGAGCAAGTACAATGCCGACTCTCGTCAAAGGGGCTGAACAAATGCGACGTGAGGATGCGGCCAGGATCGCCACTGACCCCACTCATGCGGAGATAGAAGCACAGGCTGAGCTGCAAGCAGTGCAGAGCTTTTTCACTCGGGTCCGCACCACCCTGTCCCGCATTGCCCAGCAGCTCGCCGATTACGAGTCGTCCGGCTCCTAGAGCACTTCTTTTTCTGCATTTCGGAATTTACCTTGGATTTTTGTTTTGGCTTCGTTTCTCGGATTGCATATTTTTATTTTCCATGTTAACTCGACCTATGAACAACTTTGTTTGCTCATCATTGTCTATCTAATTTTGGCAAACAGCCGCTCTCTTTTCTTTAATCCGTAACGTCGCTCTAATCTCGACGGCCGTGTTTGAGCATGGCTGACTGGCTAGTTCTAGCCACAATAGCCTACTTGATTTTTCTTATGCCAAATACCGAATGGTCCATGCCCAACAACGCTGTTACTCATGCCTACTTCTCGTGGCAAAAACAGCTTCGTTTGATAAGGTTAGAACATTTTGGTACCGAACAGTGGTACCGCACCGGCTGGACTCGAGTGAACCCTGCCGCTGGCCTTAAAGGCATTAAAAAAAATTCTTTATTGGTAACGAAGCTGGCGAATTAGTTTATTTGTTGCCTACTTCGCCATTACCGTACTATTCAACCACGTTGCGCAATCTTGGTGGCCGACCAGGCCACTTTTAGCACATGGTTGTTCGTCACTGCCCAGATTAATGACCAGCTGCGTCCCATAGGGACGGCACATATGGCTTTAAATATTTGCCATTTATCAAACGCTCGTGCATTACTCCATCCAAGTCTTTCAGCAAGTAGGCTCCATTAGGCCGCACCGAATGTACCATAAATGGTCCACGCCAATTTGGCGACCATTTTCCAAATTTGGGATCCTTTTCCCCAATCGGCAAGTGAGCTTTCCAAACCAGCTCGCCTTCTTCGAACGATTTGTGCCGAACCTTCTTGTTATAAGCTCTTGCCACCCTTGCTTTCTGTACCTGAACATTATCGAGGGCGCGGAGTTGAAGTTCATCAAGATCGCAGAGCTCGAGCATCATCGATTCATGATACTCCTGAGGTGTTAACTCGTGCTGCTTCATATACCGGAGTGAGTTGACAGTCACTTCAACGGGAAGGAATGCTTCATGCCCGTAAGTTAGCGAGAATGGACTCACTCTCGTGCTGCTCCGCGGGGACATCCTGTATGCCCACAACGCTTCTGACAAAATTTCGTGCCAACGCCGCGGATTATCCTCAATCATCTTCGTCAAAATATTTTTCACGATCTTGTTGGATGCTTCCGCTTGCCCGTTGGCTTGTGCATAATACGGCGTGGAATGGATAATTTTTATCCCCCGCTCCGCCGCGAACTCCATAACTTGCCCCCCAGTGAACACAGTTCCTTGGTCCGCCGTTATCGTTGCCGGCAAACCAAATCGATGAATAATATGTTCTTGTATGAAAGAAATCACTTCCTCTTGGTTCGCCACCTTTAACGGTTTGGCCTCCCCCACTTAGTGAAGTAGTCAGTGGCCAAAATTATGAAAACATGTTTCTTTGACGATGGGGGATAAATCATACCAATCAAATCCATGGCCCAACCATAAAACGGCCTCGGTTTGATTATTGACTTCAGGTCAACCGCCGGCGCCCTTTGAACAGGACCGTGACGTTGACAAGCCTCGCAGCCCTTGGCATATGCGGCACAATCTGGCCCGATGGTGGGCCAGTAGAATCCATAGCGATGTAGAATCCATCGCATGGAAGGACCGGCTTGGTGAGCTCCGCATATTCCTTCATGCACCTCTACCATGGCTTGCAATGCCTCCTTGCCCCCCAAGCATTTCAGCAATAACCCATCAGGTCTGCGTTTATACAAGGTCCCATCCAAAACTACGTAGCTCCTTGCTCTAAACTTGATGGCATGGTCAACAACCTTGTTTGGATCTCGCAAGTAAGACAACAGTGGTGCACGCCAGTCATCGGCGTCTTTCTCTATTACGCACACTTGCTCAACTTTCAATCGCTCCCGCAAGGGCTTAAGTGTTTGCACCACTATTTGCTCTACTGCATTGCTTTTCGCAAACTCTCTAAACCCCGAAGCCATTTGTGCAAGATAGTTGGCTTCGCAATTGTCCATTCGAGGAACAAAGTTGATCGCCATACTGTCGAAGTGGGACGTCAACGACAATACATGGTCCAGATATGTTTCTATAACACTATTGATACAGCGAAAATCTCCGCGGACCTGATGAACCACCAACTGTGAATCTCCCTTAACATCCACGTAGCGGGCTCCAAGCTCTATGAGCATTTCTAGCCCGACTACCAAAGCTTCATATTCAGCTTGGTTGTTGGTGCAAGGAAAATCCAACGAGAATGCAAAATGCATGGCCCGGCCTGATGGTGCTTTCAACATCACACCAGCCCCGGCACCGCCACGAGTTTTGGACCCGTCAAAATATAGGATCCATGGCGTTATACCAACCTCGCAGACTTCTACGGGATCGATTGGTACCTCAATGCAGGGATGATCTGCCAAGAAGTCCGCCAATGCTTGCCCTTTTATGGCTCGTTGAGGTACATACTCTAAATTAAATTCAGACAGAGCCAAGGTCCATTTGCCAATTCGGCCATGAATAATTGGCCGAGATAGCATGTATTTAATCAAGTCTGTTTGGCAAATGAGTTGTACCTGGACAGGGACCAGGTAGTAGCGTAGTTTTGTACAAGAAAAGTACAACGCTAAACATAACTTCTCTATGGGGGAATACTTTCTCTCGCCCTCGTTCAGAAGCCTACTTAGATAATAAATGGCTTCTTCATTGCCAGCTTCGTTGTCTTGCGCCAACAAACATGCCACAGAAGTGGCCGTGGCCGACAAGTACAACTTCAGCGGCACCCCTGCTTTGGGAGAGTTCATCACCGGCAGAGTCGCCAGGTATCTCTTGATATCATCAAATGCTCGTTGATGTTCTTCCCTCCATACAAACTTGTCTTCCTTTTTCAACTTCAGCAGTGAGGAAAACACTTGGGTCCGGCCAGGACAATTCGAGATAAATCTTCGAATGTAATTTACCTGGCCGAGGAAACGTTGCAACTCTTTCTTACTGGATGGTGGTGCGGCACTGATGATGGCTTTTGTTTTGTTGCCATCTACCTCAATTCCACATTGGTTTACCAGAAAACCGAGAAAATTTCCTGCACTCACACCAAATGCACATTTGAGCGGATTTAATTTCAACTTATGAACACGCATACGCAAAAATGCTTTGCGCAAATGAGCAAGGTGGTGGTTTGTCACCTTTGATTTGACGACGATGTCGTCCACGTACACTTCGACAAGCTCGCCAATCAGGTCATGAAATATTGCATTCATGGCTCGTTGGTAAGTTGCCCCGGCGTTGGCCAATCCAAATGGCATCATGATCCACTCGAAACAGCCAATGGATCCTGGACACCGAAACGCCGTTTTGTGCACATCTTCCTCGGCTATGTATATCTGGTTATAGCCCGAGTAACTGTCCATGAAAGAAAACCTGACATGCCTGGTTACGGCATCGATTAACATGTCAGCCACCGGCATGGGATACAAATCTTTTGGTGTAGCATTGTTCAAATTTCTAAAATCCACACAAACACGTATTTTGCCATTTTTCTTTCTAACAGGCACAATATTCGACAACCATAACACATATCTAGCAGTCCTGGTAAACTTAGCCTTCATTAAACGTTCAATTTCCTTTTTCACTTCAGGCAAGATATCATGCGAAAACCGCCTAGGTGGTTGTCTATGTGGCTTATAACCTTCTTTAATT